ATTAATCACTCCATTGTGAGGCTATCTTCCTCTGCTTAAGTATTTCTGTCAAAAGCAAATCCTGGTCATTGGAGTGAAGTCTTGAGGAAAAGCTAACGGTCATTCCCAGCCAAGGCTGGTGACTAAGAGGGCAAAGGTTAACAGGAAGATAGAAAACCAAACGGTTGGGGTTAAAGGTATACAAAGCCACAGCCAGGCCCTTAATTGAGGACACTAACTTATGAATGCAGCAGATTGCTTTTCTTGTTCAAAGTAGAGATCTATCAGCTCAATCAAGCTTTTGTGGTTGCTGATACACTAAATAATTTTTAAAAAATGAGCAATATTGCTTGAAAAGTCACCAGTTTAGAAGGAAGGATAAAGTGGTAAAAAATGTGGGGGCTGAAGTGGACTCTTCAATGGTGATATATCTATGGATAATGAGTTGACACAGCAAAAGACTTAAAAATCAACACTCCAAGGTAGGAATAGGGGTGCACACCTACTCATAGTAGGTGCAGTAGTGCCAGTATGTGCAGTAATGCCATTTTTAGTCAACTTCCCAGGCTAGCTAGGGGCTCTATACATAACTAAGGATGACCTTAAACTTCTGGTTCTCCTGCTTCAACTTCCTCAGTACTGGGGTTACAAGCATGTGCCACCATGCCCATTCAAACCAAGGGTATCCTACATGCTAGGTGGGTGCTCTACCAGTTGAGATACATCCTCAAATGTCAGGGTTTTTTTAAATTTATTTTTTACTTTGTGTGTATGTTTTCTCTATGTACATGAATATATACCTCATGCATGTCTGTTGAATCCCCTGGAATTGGGATTACAGATAGTTGCATGTCACTGTATGGTGCTAGGAATCAAACTTAGGAACACATGTTCTTAACTGTTGAGCCATCCCTCCAGCCTGAGCTATCATTCCTTAAGTGACTTTCTTGGGAAGTTAACAGTCTTTATCCAGAGTCTCTTCAAATGATGCATCTGGAGGTTAATTCTCCACAGAGGAAGTGTGGAAAGGAACCCCTACTTTATTTAGCTCTATGCTATCAAGTAAGCAAAGACATCTGATGTGCTCATGGGAAGGCTGTGGGACTCACCACCTTTCCATTTACCCATCTCTGTCTCGTATATTTGCCACTGAACTTCTAAAACAGGGCATGGCTGCATTCCCACAAATATGGCAGGTTTGGTTGTCAGGAAAGAGTGGTCAGTGTGATTTACATCAAAAAGCAGTTTCCCAATACTGCCCTCAGACTTCCCTCATTCCCTCATCTCTTGATTCACCTTAGGGAAGGTCACCCATGTTGCCTACCCTATTGCCACCTCCCATGAAAAGCTTTGGACTAACCCCCATGTCATCAGAAGGTTCCACAGTATTTCCTACACAAACTCGCCCCTCATATCCTGTAAACTGGCTCCTCTCTCCTTCCTGTAGGTGAAGCCCATCATTCCAATAGCTCGTGTATATCTATTCCTCTGCAGTGTCTATTGTATCTCACAACCTGAAATTTCCAAAATAACTTTCCAAGTTTAGACCTAATGGTAGTACCCCTCACTGATTCAATCTGACATTATTTCACATCTATACAGTGACTTGTCACCTAAAAGGAACTTTCCTATCCATTATTTATTATTAAGTGGCTACTGCAGCCCGTAGAATACACTGGAAAGGCACTACTATGAGGACTTGAGGGATTAAAAAGAGCCAGGCTTGAAGAGAGAAGGGGTGGATCATATCCACTAGTAGGGGTTGGGAGTCAACCTCAGAGCTACTCCCACCTCTCCCCACCTCTTCCTCGTCTGGTCCAACAACTGCCAGCTTGGGGGTAGGGCGGGGGAGTTGGGGAGAGAGCTCAGTTGGTAAAAATGACTGCTGTGTAATCCCCAGGACCTGTGTTAAAAAAAAATCTGGGTGTGGTGGTGAATTTGTAATCCTAGCACTAAAGGAATGCAGACAGATCTTTGGCTCTTAAGCCTAGATGAACTAGAAAGTTCCAGACTCAGTGATAGACCCTGTCTCAAAAAATAAGACAGAGAAAGTCTGAAAAAGAAACCTAAGGTTGACCTTCTTTGCTCTCTCTCTCTCTCTCTCTCTCTCTCTCTCTCTCTCTCTCTCTCTCTCTCTCTCTCTCTCTCTCTCTCTCTCTCTCCCTTTCTCTCCCTTTTTCCCTCCCTCCCTCTCTCTCCTCACCCCTCTTCTCTCTGGGCAGTCTACCTCAAAGCTCATCCTCTCTCATTTCTTTACCTCTCAAAGTTGTAGCTGACAGCTTCAGCCTGCTGGATGTGAATTAGCTAGAGCACTGGCTGCTGGGAGGCAGAAGGCTTGGCTGTCAGCAAACTCAGCACTGCCCTGGATACAAAATGACATTTTGGCCCAAGGCACTTACTAAGTTACACAGTCCTGGCTCCTTATGAGTAAAAGTTTCCAGGCACTAGGGTGTAGCATTAAAAAGAGCCACACTGAATTAGGAACTGACCGACCACTCTATTAGCTTCCCCACATACCCTGAAATGCAGAGATGGTCAAGACTAATGTTCTGTGATTTCATAACTTCCTTCGGCTTTCTTGCTGTACTCTGCAGCTGGTAATTCATTGTGCAACTGTATGAGATTGTAGGTTGGAGCTAGACAGAAGGGACTGTCAGTTGCCTGCAGAGGCACTGGGGAGAATTCTCATTACTTTTGGTGGGGCAAAGGGAAGACATACTTGCAAAATGCATCCTGCTGTTATTTTGCATTAGAGTCAATGTGTTTGTAGTACTGTTGGAGCCCTAGACTAAAGATAAGACTAAGCCGGTGTTGGTGGCGCACGCCTTTAATCCCAGCACTTGGGAGGCAGAGGCAGGTGAATCTGTGAGTTTGAGGCCAACCTGGTCTACAAAGCTAGTCCCAGAACAGCCTCCAAAGCCAGAGAAACACTGTCTCAAAAACAAAACAAAAGACACTAATTCTACAATACAATACACAAACTAGATGTAAAAACACACTACATTAAAAAAGGATTTATTTTTATGCATTTGGTTGTTTTTGCCTGAATGGTTGTGTACTACATGCATGCAACATGCAGTGACTTTGAAAGCCAGAAGAGGGGGTACATATCCTGGAATTGGAGCTAGGGACAATTGTGAGCTGCCATGTTAGAGCTGGAAATTGAACCTGAGCCTCTGGAATAGCAGCTAGAGCTCTTAACTAGGAGTCTTCTCTCTAGTCCGAATACATTTTATTTCTTAGTTGTAGAAGAATATTCTCTCACCCAATAAAGCAAACAGCTCTTAAAGCCATCAATGAATCTGAATCCATTTTTCAAACCTCTATTAATGAAGATGCATTCAGTTCCTCCCAAATGATCAGTTTTTAATTGACATTAAATTTGTGTGTAATTATGGAGTATCATCTCATGTTTTTGAATCATGTACACATTATGTAGTGTTCAAACTGGGTGAGTATATCTGACTCCTTAAGCATTTAACACTTCTTTGAAGTTAAACTGTTTGAAATCTCCTCTTTGACCTTGTTGGAATCTATAGCATATTATCTTTGCCTGTTGTGACTCTGTGGGGCAGCAGCACCCCAGGGCTCATTTCTCCTTTCCAACTAATACTCAGTACCTGTTGATCAGCTCTTTCTTTTTGTTGAAACCCCCAGAGACAAAGGTGAATATTGCTTCCTGGAGGATTATAGTCAGTAAAACTGGTGCTGGACACAATATTGTCTTTATTTATTGGAGTCCTAACTAATACGTGGGATGGGGAAAAAAAGGTTCCTGTGTCAGCAATTTAGGTTGGATGGAGGTCTGTGGAAAGACCAGTTTGCAAGCACACTCACACTCACTGGCACGGAGGACATGCTGTGCCAGTGGTGAGGCTCTGAGAGTGGAATGGAAGAACAGATGTGTTCTCAGCAGCCCAGGGACTGCAGTTATGCTTTTGGCTGTTTGTGTTGGTGTTACAGGGAGAAGCAGAGGCCACAGATTCAAGTCCAGACAAGCTTTGAGGCTGGGAGGAATGTTTTCAAGAGGTTTCACAATATGTTATCTCCCAACTGTTTGGATCTAACCAGAATCTTCACTTGTGCTCCTTCTTTTATGGAGGCAGAGTCCCACTGTGTGGCCCAGGCTGATTCTGAACCGTGTTCTTCTTGCCTCAGCCTCCCAAGGACTGTCGGGATTGTGGATGACATGCTCCACCATATCTAGTCTTCCGTTGCTCTTAGGTGAGATAGGCCAACATAAAGTGAATTAGTTTTGTGAAAATGTGTCTTGAGCATGGAACTCTACTCTTGTTAAGACTTTCTTGTGTGTATGCCTTCATCTGGGTTTGTGCTCATAAGTGCTGGTGCCTGTAGCGATCAGAGGAGGATGTCAGATCTTTTGGAGCTGGAATTATAGGAGGTTTTGAGCAGCCTGGGAACCTAACTCAGGTCCTCTGCAAGAGCAGTACAGGTTTACTGAGCCATCTCTTCAGTCCTTGGAACTGTATTCTTTTTTGACAGATGACAACTGTGACCTTCAGTTTCTTTCTCAGTGCTCAGCTGCTCACAGAATTGAGTCCAAACATTAAAAAGGTGGGAATAATGAAGATCTGGAACCAATTTACTGCCACCAACAGATGAATGGATAAAGATAGCATAGCATAGCATATATACACAATACAGTAGGTAGGGTCAGTTCCCCCAAGTGTCATGGCAGACACAGAAGAGACCAGATGGGTAGGTATATGGGGACAATTGAGGGAGTGACTCTTTCTAAATGGAACCTTCATAAGTAGTATCATATCTTGACCTTCTCCAACTGTCTTATAGCCCCTTCCAGGGGCTCATGTCCACAAGCAAAAACAGATTGACAGTTGTGGTGGGTTGAAAGAAAATGGTCCCCAAAGGGAGTGGCACTATTAGGAGTTGTGGCTTTGTTGGAGGAATTGTGTGGGCTTTGTGAGGTCTCCTTTCCTCACAAAGGAGTGTTCAGTGACACTCTGTCTACTTCCTGTTGCCTGCATGCCACCATGCTACCCGCCATGTTGATAATGGACTGAACCTCTGAAATTGTAAGTCACCACCTTAATTAAATGTTTTCCTTTATAAGATACCGTGGTCCTGGTGTCTCTCCACAGTAATAGAAACCCTTACTAAGACAACAGTCTTCCTCTGTCTTTCATGGTCAAAATACAATTCATGAAAATTTCCAACAACTTATTTTATAGACTGTTTTTGGTTTGGGTTCTCTGAGTGTCTCTCATGATGAACACTTTTATGCCAGAAAGATGCAACATTACTGACACTGTACTTTCTCCTGGTGCAAACTAAGAAACACACCTGCTGTATTCCTGTATCTTACTAGTGGCTATCTTCTGTTCTGTCTTAGGACAGTTTCTGCCAGGTTTAAACCTCAGTAAATTGATAAACACTATAGTCACCAAATCAAAAAATTTTCAGGGGGATTCTTTAAATAATACTATGTAATTGTTCCTAGTTATCACCAAACTCTCACTACTTTAATATCTGTTGACTGCTAAGCTACGAATGGGTGATTTTTCTAACTCCATCTTGCCTTTTGCTCCAACTTCAATCACCACAGATACACTAGTGTCTCTGAAATCTGTATTGATGTGGCTTCTAGCTTGAGCTCAAATCTTTAAGACATAAGTAATTTCTATCTCAGATTTAATGTGGTGACAGTAACTGACATCTTTTGAATCAGGGTCCTGCTGTGCAGCCCACGTTGACCTCAAACTCATAAATCCTCCTGTCTTAGCTCCCAGGTGCTAAGACAGTAATTCCTTGTTTAAAGTCTTTTCTCTCTACACATTAAGTTTAATTCTTTCGCTCCCCCTAAATGTGTTCATGGCATGTATGGTGTTTAAAAATAGATTCATACCTATAATCTACCATAACAAATATCTTGGCCACTGGAGCAATAGCCACACAAATGCTATAGGAATAACCAACTACTGTCCAATTGGATTTAAGTTCCACTTCATTAGGTAGAACCCATACCTGCCACTGTTAATGGGGTCAAGAATCTATGGCTAGATAAATCGCAGGCCCTAATCTACCATTATTCTGCTAAATGGTTGTAGTATATTAAAAAAAGACTGCTAATGACTTATTGCTATAGTAATAGAGTAATGCACCTTTCCACCCTCATCAGTGAAGCTACTTCTTGCAGCAGATGGCAATGAACAAGAGACCCACAGCCGGTGCAGAAAAGAGGATAGGGATCATTCATTCCTAAATGGGATGCTTAGATCACACTCTTCCCCACAAGATGATGGGGAATGTTTCTCTTATTGGTTGATGAATAAAACACTGCCAGTAGCCAGACAGGAAGGTAGGCAGGGCTACCAGATGAGAATTCTGGGGAGAGGAGAGAGGGAGAAGCTGCCAAAGAGAGATTCCATGTAGTTGTTGGGAACATAGGACCCTTCTCTGGTAAAATAAGACCACATGGAAATACCTAGATTAATATAAATGGGTTAATAATTAAGAGAGAGCTAGCCAATAAGAAGCCTGAGCCATCAGCCAGTTTATAAATTATGATAAGTCTCTGTGTGTTTATTTGGGGCTGAAGGGTGGTGGGACTAGACAGAACAGAAATTCCATCTTCATCAAGGCTCAAGGACCTTCATGGAAGAGTGGGTAGAAAGACTTTAAGAGCTATAATGGTGACTAACTAAAAGGAAACAACCCTTTCTAGACACAAAAGGGCAGATGTACATATGAACTATCAAAGAGACTGTGATAGCATGCACAAGAGCTGCCAATGCTCAAGCCAGACAGATCCCAGCATGGTTGAGTGGAGGTGGGAGTGAAGTCCTACCCCTAAAACTATTATTATGCTATTGACAATTGATAGCTGCTGAGAGAGGGAGTCAGTTGGTAGGCTGGCCATGCTCTAGGGTAGGCAGATAACCAAGAGTGTCTGGATAACACAAACTGGAGTTGATGTGTTTATAAACCAAAAACAAACAAAAGATCCAAAGTTGAGCAGGTAGGGAAGTAGGGTGAATCTAGGAAAAGTTGGAGGAGGGGGAGTGAATACGAGCAAAACATATGAAATTCTCAATTAATAAACATTACTTAAATTAATGGGTTCACACAGTCTTTGTATATTTCTCTCCTCACAGTGCTGGCATTCAAGACTGGATTTGGTGACTTATTTCTAGCCAGGAGACTATGGCAAAAGTCAGTACTTGAGCTCTGAGACACCATTACTTCCTTGTTGCTCCTTTCTGGGGCTGCTAATGCTGGGATGTGCAGGTGACGGTGCTGTGAGGACATTTGGGCTGTGCTACACAGCAGTCCAGACGAAAAGCAACCGAAGAACCAAGGCCTTCCACCTACATACAAGTGTGTGAACCTTGGCTTGGAGGAAGTGGATGTCTCCAGTCAACAACAGGACTGCAGCTATAGAAGTGCCCTGGAGCGTGGGGCGGTAAGCCGAGTTGCACCTGGACTCTGGTCTTTGCTATTTAGACATGTCATGTTAGGTGACTAACACTCAGCAACAAAGCAGCTAAAATCAGAGTCCAGGGAGTAGAAACAGCTGAAGCAACAGTGTGCTTCCTTTCTTTCTAGCCACACTTTTATTTTTTCCAGTGAATAACACCATCAATCTCCCAGCATTACAATGCTTCTAGGCAAGCTGTACGTGACTGACAGTGCTGACTTGTTAATTCAGGTCAATTCCCAATTTCAAATCCTATCTTAACAACATTTAACTTTTCCGCAGTGCATTCTGTAGATTAATGCTGACAAAAAGCCCTTTCCAGATAAACACTTGATCACATTATTTGTTAAGCTTCACTACAAGTTTTCAAGTTGTATGGGATAGGATCCCAGTGTCAGAATTATAGTTTGCTTGGTTATCTCCATGTTCACAGCCTGGGCTCTTTCACCTTTACATATTCTGCAGCTATCCTTCTCTAACTGCAACTCATTAAAAACAAACAAACAAACAAAAATAACCAGCTGAAGTTTTAGTTCGGAAACTCCTTCCTTAACTACCAGGACTTGGCTATGTGCTATGTCTTTTTCTTTTTGTAGTGGTAGGGATGGGGCTCAAAGTCTGAAGTATGCTAGGCAAACTCTCTACCACTGAACTACACATCCCCAAGAAGATGGCTAAAAATGACTTTATCAGAGCACTCACTACACAAATTCCTCTACTAGCATGTACATCTACAAGGAAAAGAAAAATCTAATTTGAGACAGAGTTTCATGTAGCCATCTATCCTTGATATCTATTTATTCATTCCTGAATACAACATATCTATTGAGCATGGAAAGTATACTATACTATACTAGGTATTATTATTTAATGATGAACAAATATGCCCCTGTCCCTCCAGAGTTTATTGTCTACTATCAAATAAACAACAATATTTTGAGGTCTGAATGTGACAAGAGGACAATGGTGACCTAGTGACATTTCATGACATAATGCTATAGCCAAATTCTTGAACTTGTTTTCTAAGGCATTTATATAAATTATACTTTCACACGAAAGAATGAGTCAGGTTGAGATTCATAGTATCCTAATATCTCTTTTTCTTTCTATGCATCTAAATAGAGCCTTTGGTCACAGGCATTCTAGGTAAATACTCTAATACTGAGCTAACCCCCAGCTTGGGGAAAAAAAAATTCATACAGTAGCTGAACATGGTAGCACATAGCTTTAATCCCAGAGCTTAGGAGGCACTCATGTGATTTCTGTGTGCCAGGACCGCCACAGCTGCGTATAGGCTCTGTCTCAAATAAAACAAAACCACAAAAAAAAATCAATACAGTAATAATATTTTCTAATAATTTAGGCAACCAATTCCTCAGAAAAATCAATTCAAAACAAAACTTGATAGCAGAAGATAAAAGATCCAGCTTAAAATATTTTAGAGGATTTTGGTCTTATTTTTAATTAAAAGAATTTTATTTTATGGGTATGGCTGTTTTGTCAGAATTATACCACATACATGTAGTGCCCATGGAGGCCAGAATAGGTCACTGATCTCATGGAACTGGAGTTATAGATGGTTGTGGGCAGCCATGCGATTGGGAAGCAAACCTGGGTCCTCTGCTATAAGCCCTTTCTCTAGACCCTAATTTTTGGGTATAATTTTCATGAAAACACATACATATCCGCACGCACGTTCACACACCATACTCCTCAAAAACAACATGAAAATTGCCTTTGGATTACAAATCTTGTATGTCTGAGACGGCAAACACATTTCTGATACTTTAAGTGTTTATTAAAAAATTGGTAACAAAAAGTGAACAGGTCTGTTCCCTCAAAAGCAAACTGGCCATACCCACTGCTGATGCTGCTTTCTGAATGAATCAGGATAAATGAGAAAAGAAAAAAGAAATCCTAGGTTTAATGGCACCTAAACCATGCCTGATAGAATGATCAAGCTTTTTTCCTGGAATGCCTGAATCATGTTGTCTTGGCTTTCGGCAGTGTTTCACCACACTCAGATGGAATTTGTGCCAAGGTTTAGAAGTACTTTCACCAAAGCTGTCACACCACAGAATGCTAGTGTTTTTGTAAAACACATGTGTGGTTGCCTAGCAGAAAAATATTAATTTGCCACTTTTCAGTGATAGGGATTTATTTTCCTTGTTTTTACTTTTGGTGTCCACAATAAAATTTCAAAGGGTTTTCAAACACAACAAGAGTGGTGTTAATACTGACAAAAATGGGCCCTAAACAACACACACAGTTGTTTCTAACAGTGGCAATGTTTAACCCTTTAGGCTAGTCTCATTAGACTGGCAATATAGTCAAATTATTAACTTAATATCTGACAGTTCCTAAGACAGCAAGTGGTTTTCCTACCTATGATTTTTAGAAAAACATACTATAAAAATATTTTTCTTATTCAGTTCACGGCCACGCAAATGGAGCATTCTAGATTCTCCATGCACCAGAGGAAGGACAGTAATTTCTGCTGTCACTGTCTTTCCCGCAGTCAGTAGATTTCCAAGGCACTTTGTAAGAACTCTAGGATAGCAAGGGGGAACACTCTTCTTGCTAGCTGACTTTTCGGGCACATTTCCCCTCAAAGTTCAACATTAAATACTGTTACAACTGGTTTTTCTGAAGCTTCATTTTCCACGGTTCAATCCTTATGTTATTTTCCTTTTATTCCTGGCCACTCCTTCATTTTCAACTTGCTGAACAGGCAGGCAACTGCTTTTGGTTTCCATGGAAACTGGATTCCTGTGGCTATGGGTAGGCATTCTTGTACCACCAACCTAAGAGATAGAGCAAGAGCAGAATAACTTAATACATTCACAACATGCCTGAACACAAACAACCCTGCATCATTTACACAGAGACTCTCAATTTGGGAATGACCTTTTGCAAGTTTTTAAGTCCCAGCCACGTGGCTATTTAAGAAGTTTTAATCCGACCCACTTTTAAAAGCATTAAACTTCTGGTAACAATAAGGAAAGAAGCTGGAGTAGGGCTCAGCTGTAAGCTGCTGTTGCATTTGTAAGATGCTGAAAGGTGAAATTAGAAAGTGAGGGAAGGCCAGACCTTTTGAGAAAGTGTGCAATTCTGTGGGAGGGCAAGGAAAAATGGAGAAGTGAGAGGAGAGGGAGAGGAAACACAAAGGGTGGAAGACAAAGGGAGGACAGAGAGTAAGAAGCAAGACAAGGCAAGAAGAGACAAAGAGGAAGAAAGAGTTTAAAGAGGAAGAAATAAACAATGTGTGAGGGAAGAAGGGGAGAAACCAGAGTAGAAAGACAATCGAGAGTGGAAGAACAGGACATCAACAGAACCAGGGGAAGGAAGAGGAGATTGGCATAGTTGGGAGTAACACCAGCTCCCCTCATGCCTGATCCAACTTGCACCTAGCTCCTACAACCTCAGGAAGAGGAAAGGCCTGCTAATCAGAGTCCTGACTAAAGAGAAGACTTGGAAATGCTGTTACCTTCCTGGCCACTTAGAGACCTCACACAGGACCAAAGTTGTACAGCCTGTGACCATTTCCACAAAGCTGCCTGTATCGGCCTTAGGTTCCCCTAGCCACCTCACAAAGGCAGTGTTTCTGTACATCCCATGTAGTCAATCCTGCAGATGGGAGGGTAAGGGCTGTGGTGATTCAAACTCACTCTTTCACAGTCTAGCCCACCAATCAAAGTGCTAGCACTGTGGTTCACTAAGAATGTACCAGAATCTAGTGTCTCTACTTTCTCCTAGAGCTTTTAGGGTTTGCTTTTAAATTACATGACTAGAATGGGGGCAAACCAGAGCTTTAGTCAGGCAGTGTCTGTTGGTCTCTGCTGCTCACGTCTTGTATAACCAATAAGCACTGATTCACAGACACCTGTCATTTACCCACTCAGTCAGTATTTTTCCTGAAGGTACTCATTAATTGGGCTTTTGAGAGAGGCAAATATTCTGAAAACTGTGTGAGTGTTCTGTAAATGTCTACTCTGGAAGCTACAGTGGTAAAGAGTATAGTAGGAAGAGGATCTACTGGAGTATGCATCAGGGTTGGAGGCTGCAGGTCCTGTCCAGGGATGAGCACCTGGTTCAAGAGAACTAGGGATGGAAGACCACACCAAAGTGAGGCTACGCCAGAAGAGATGCAGACAGCTGTTGAACACAAGCTCTGACTTCCTAGTTTTCAGAAAGCTCTGATCTTTCCACATTATCTGCTAAGGATAGAACCCCACAGGTGCTTAGTGTGATTGAAATTATTAAAGTTCTCTTTCCATGGCCTAGCTAGAAAGGCAGCAGCAAGGTGAAATTAGGGTAGAGAACTGCATGGCATACACAATCCTATTCAATGTGAACAACATTTGACAAAAATCAACAACTAAAAAGTCCTCAGCATTTGTGGGAAAAGCTATTTCTTAAAAGGGCTTTGGGATGATTACTGACTAATTGGGTATAATAGAGAAAGGAAAAAAGAATAATGTCCAAGTGACACACACACATGCATCTATGACAGGCTAGCTGTGGCAGGAGGAATTCTGTTGACTCTAAAAACAAACTAAGGCAACACAGGTTATCCAAATGTGTATGTCCCCAGTGCTGGGCTATGCAACAGTCTGGTCTCAGATAAACTCAGAGCATGTGTCCCTGCACTGGACAATGTCTGAACTGTTAGAATGTATATTTATGTGTTCAAATCCTGAGTACACAGAATTTCTCTTTGTCCAAATGAGTTTTCTTGTTACGTTGCAGCACATTTAGACCACTCTACTGAAAAAGCTAAATCTTCCAAGTATTTCTAAGGCATAAGCATTCAATGTTTAGTTAATCTAAATAAAGTACAACAATATCACTCACTTCTTTTAAAAATACCCTGCGTAAATATGTTTTCTTCAACTTAACGTTGTTCAGTGCCAAGGTATTAAACCATTCATTTTCACCAAAAAGGAATGAGACATCCCCATACAGAATTATATGTTACAGTTGAC